GTTTGTTGCCTGATACCCATGAGCTAGCAGCAACTGCGGCGAGGTCATTGGCAATTGGGAAATGTGATGTTGCATTGGTGGTTGGTGCAAGGCTTAATTGGTTGTTGCATTTTGGGGAACCTCCAAAGTGGTCTAAGGATGTGAAGTTTATTTTGGCTGACATAAGTCAAGAAGAGATTGAGCTGAGAAAGCCATGTCTTGGACTGGTTGGGGATGCGAAAAGGGTTTTGGAAATGATTAATAAGGAGATTAAGGATGACCCCTTTTGTTTGGGGAAGGATCATCCTTGGGTTGAGGTGATAGCGAAGAAGACAAAGGAAAATGTGTCAAGAATGGAGGCACAGTTGGCTAAGGACGTTGTGCCTTTCAATTTTATGACACCAATGAGGATAATCAGGGATGCAATTTTGGGATTGGGTAGTCCTGCTCCGATATTAGTATCTGAGGGGGCGAACACCATGGATGTTGGACGGGCTGTGTTAATTCAGACGGAGCCGAGAACTAGGTTGGACGCTGGGACTTGGGGGACAATGGGGGTTGGTCTGGGCTATTGCATAGCTGCGGCGGTGGCTTCCCCTGATCGGCTTGTTGTTGCCGTTGAAGGGGACTCTGGATTTGGTTTCAGTGCCATGGAATGCGAGGTTTGTTCCCTCTCTAAGAAGTTTGTTTATATATTAATGCTCCTTGATTATGGAAAACTCGTATTCTATGCTTTATTTTCATTCAATTAGGAATAAACATAATGCGGATGCTCAAGCTGAAAATGCTATACATTTAATGGTTCAAGGTCTAAGTTGCTTGTATATTTCAATGCAAGTTGTCGAAGTGGTTGGGCTCTCCTCCCTTGGCTTGACAGAGAAACCTAGAACATCGCCAGTGTTTTTTTTTTTAGATTCTATTCTCTCACAGAGAGAGAATAAGATATGTATGTTTTTTTTTTAATTCCTAGCCCTCGGGCTTTTTATTTTCTGGCCTTTCCACTTTTAAATAACTACAAAAAATATCCCATGTTTTAATTGTAAAATTACAACCCTTTAAACATGTCCACTGCGTGTCCGAATTTGAAAAATTTTAAAAAAAAAGAAATTGGACACTAATTAACATGTTTGACACATGTCCGTGTACCAGACGTGTTGGACACGGATACGTGAGCCAAAATTGAGTGTTCGTGATTCATAGCTATGCATGCACTAATTGCAGTCTCTTCATGAATGAGTACATCCACCCCAGAAGAATAAAATATTAAAATTAAATTATAAATTGAAAAAAAAAAAAAAGAAACAAATAGTATTTTTTTCCCAAGACTGCAGTAAATGTGCAAGTCTGTCTCTCTTACTTTATAAGTCCCATCCCATNAAAAAAAAAAAAAAGAAACAAATAGTATTTTTTTCCCAAGACTGCAGTAAATGTGCAAGTCTGTCTCTCTTACTTTATAAGTCCCATCCCATTTAGTTCTCTTTTATGGCGTTCTCTCTTAGTAGATTGGGTGGGTACAAACCTAACGTTTTACATTGTTCAGACAATCAGACCCACAATTGGGCCAAATTTTAAGTAGAACCAGTGTNTTTTACATTGTTCAGACAATCAGACCCACAATTGGGCCAAATTTTAAGTAGAACCAGTGTCCCTTTTATACGTGTGTAATAAGAAAATATATATTTTAACTATGTATCACTTAGGTGTCCTTTTATGAAGCCAATTCATACCAATATTTGATTGCTAGGCAGTGATACATTTTTTCCTTTCTCTTCTTAGTGAATTAAATATTTCGTGTGACACTCTTACCATGTTGCTTGTGCTCTGTAAAATTCATTTATCCCAATTGCTGCACAAATAGGAAGCCTTTCTGTTAAACTAAATGGTTCCCCCCAACTCTTTCTTGGGCCATATTTTTGTATATTCATTCTTATATTATATTCTTTTTACCACCATTATCTTGACGTATTTGATTACTTTCTGAGCAGAAAAAACTTATATGCTGTGTGTTTCTTTGAACTCTACAGACATTGGTTCGATATCAGTTGCCAGTGGTTGTCATAGTCTTTAACAATAGTGGTGTATATGGTGGTGACCGGAGGAACACTAAAGAAATTACAGGACCTTACAAGGATGATCCAGCACCAACTTCTTTTGTCCCTGGTGCTGGATATCATCTTCTAATTGAAGCTTTTGGGGGAAGGGGTTATCTTGTTGGGAAACCTGATGAACTCAAGTNTGGATATCATCTTCTAATTGAAGCTTTTGGGGGAAGGGGTTATCTTGTTGGGAAACCTGATGAACTCAAGTCGGCGCTTTCTGAAGCTTTTTCTGCACGGAAGCCTGCTGTCATAAACGTTACAATTGATCCATATGCTGGTGCAGAAAGTGGGAGGATGCAGCATAAAAACTGAGGCAAGCTGTAGCAACTTTAATTTTTGGTTGCTTACGCTTCTTTGTTTGAGTGTATACTCTGTTTGCTTTTTCTGGATGTTGTCTTTTGTGACGCCTATTGATTGGGTGAATCTAAACCTGCTTTATCATGTGTAATTTATAAAGCTAGAGTCATGGTTGTTGCTAGCATGTAGACAAGACACACACTCATAGCGCCAGTTTGTTTGTTCCATATCATCATATCAAATGTTGAACAAATTGAAATAAGTGAAGAGAGAGAAATAACATGATGACTCTTGTACTTTGGCCAGTCATGATACTTGACCTAGTTGATGTACAGTATTAACGTACTCAGATTTTGAAGTTAATCTGATAATGTCACTATGGAAATGCATATTACACTGTCATATGGACTCAGTGGATGTGCAGGGTAGTATTCATCCATTTACCATTTTTGACTTGTCTATGGAATCTGTAACCAATGCCTTCTGTTTTTCAACTTTTGCTTATATNAATTAAATTATAAATTGAAAAAAAAAAAAAAGAAACAAATAGTATTTTTTTCCCAAGACTGCAGTAAATGTGCAAGTCTGTCTCTCTTACTTTATAAGTCCCATCCCATTTAGTTCTCTTTTATGGCGTTCTCTCTTAGTAGATTGGGTGGGTACAAACCTAACGTTTTACATTGTTCAGACAATCAGACCCACAATTGGGCCAAATTTTAAGTAGAACCAGTGTCCCTTTTATACGTGTGTAATAAGAAAATATATATTTTAACTATGTATCACTTAGGTGTCCTTTTATGAAGCCAATTCATACCAATATTTGATTGCTAGGCAGTGATACATTTTTTCCTTTCTCTTCTTAGTGAATTAAATATTTCGTGTGACACTCTTACCATGTTGCTTGTGCTCTGTAAAATTCATTTATCCCAATTGCTGCACAAATAGGAAGCCTTTCTGTTAAACTAAATGGTTCCCCCCAACTCTTTCTTGGGCCATATTTTTGTATATTCATTCTTATATTATATTCTTTTTACCACCATTATCTTGACGTATTTGATTACTTTCTGAGCAGAAAAAACTTATATGCTGTGTGTTTCTTTGAACTCTACAGACATTGGTTCGATATCAGTTGCCAGTGGTTGTCATAGTCTTTAACAATAGTGGTGTATATGGTGGTGACCGGAGGAACACTAAAGAAATTACAGGACCTTACAAGGATGATCCAGCACCAACTTCTTTTGTCCCTGGTGCTGGATATCATCTTCTAATTGAAGCTTTTGGGGGAAGGGGTTATCTTGTTGGGAAACCTGATGAACTCAAGTCGGCGCTTTCTGAAGCTTTTTCTGCACGGAAGCCTGCTGTCATAAACGTTACAATTGATCCATATGCTGGTGCAGAAAGTGGGAGGATGCAGCATAAAAACTGAGGCAAGCTGTAGCAACTTTAATTTTTGGTTGCTTACGCTTCTTTGTTTGAGTGTATACTCTGTTTGCTTTTTCTGGATGTTGTCTTTTGTGACGCCTATTGATTGGGTGAATCTAAACCTGCTTTATCATGTGTAATTTATAAAGCTAGAGTCATGGTTGTTGCTAGCATGTAGACAAGACACACACTCATAGCGCCAGTTTGTTTGTTCCATATCATCATATCAAATGTTGAACAAATTGAAATAAGTGAAGAGAGAGAAATAACATGATGACTCTTGTACTTTGGCCAGTCATGATACTTGACCTAGTTGATGTACAGTATTAACGTACTCAGATTTTGAAGTTAATCTGATAATGTCACTATGGAAATGCATATTACACTGTCATATGGACTCAGTGGATGTGCAGGGTAGTATTCATCCATTTACCATTTTTGACTTGTCTATGGAATCTGTAACCAATGCCTTCTGTTTTTCAACTTTTGCTTATATTAGCAGTTTGGTTGGTGAATGGAAATTGAAAGTTCTGCATCAAAATGGAGATTGAGGCGTTTGCCATATTTTTTTTTTGTGGCAAAGTTTGTTGTTAATAACCTTCCTGTGCACTTAACATCTGCAATTACATGTTTTTTAGTTTATAATCTGAAATTACACGTTGAGATTGCTTCAGTAGCCCCCTAAATAAGTGTGTGCATAACTACCGATGAGTATGTGGATCAATATTATTCCTCTCTCTCTCTGTCTCAACCCCCCCTCCCCCCAAAAAAAAAAAAACACTCACACCCCGGATGTACAAAAGAATCTTTGATCTTTATATCTGTAAATTGATTTGAAGTAAGCTTCTCAATAGGCTGAGTTTCGGGTTTGTCAACTTCTATCTTTGCTTGGATTGAAATGCATGGCACAGGTTCCTTCCCGACTTCTACTGAGTATTTATTTTCATTGGATGCTATAACAAAAAGAATTTACTAGCAAAAATACATGCCAAACAACTAAGGAAAGGATAAAAGGAAAAGTACATAACCCTAATTAAAAAGAGGACAATTGGAAGATGTTACTCTTTATTTCTTTTATCGAGTGGGCTAAAGAATTGGGAGTGTTCTTGTAATCCACCATGTATGGATCAAATATGAACCCATAAAAGAGCTAAAAGTAAACGCAGAGCGTGCTAGAGGAGCTGCAAGTAAGGAACATGCTATCTAGTAAGGTGGTGGAGGGGGATGTCTAGGTGGAGATGGTCCATAGGGATCAAAGTGTGATGGCGGAGGTGGACCGGGAGGTCCAGGCTGAGGTGATGCATTAGGTGGTGGGGGTGATTCAGGTGGTCCAGGGGGTGGAGTGTAAGGTGGTGAGGGTGGTCCAAGAAGTGGTAATGGAGGAGCATAATAATTTGGTGGCGGAGGTGGTGCTGGGACGAATGAACCTAGTACCAGCACTGGTGGCAGTGGGGGTGATCCGGGTGGTCCAGATGGTGGTGGTGGAATGTAATAATTTGGAGGTGGAAGTGACAGTGGGACGAATGCTGGTATCGGCACTAGTGGTGGTGGGAATGATCCAAGAGGTGGTGGTGGAGGAGGAGCATGATAATTAGGTGGGGGTGATCCAGGAGGCCCAGGGGAACCTGGTTCAGGCACCAGTGGCGGAGGTTGTCTATGGTCATGTCTTCGGAACCCCATTTTTTTGAACTTCGAATACAAGATTACTAGAGTGAGTAGGGATGATTAAGGACAAGAACTGATTATATAGAGATGTGACTTGAAATATAATCTTTTAGATGTAAATACATCCATGAATTGGTGGCTTTTTTTTTGGTCAGACTATTATAGGGGAGGGAAACTCGAACCGACACCCTTTTGGTGTTCAGGTAGAGTGGATTGCCACTTTGGTGGACCTGTAGTTTATGAATTGGTGGTTCAAAAAGTACAGAGATCATCTTAATCATAAAGACTTCAAATAGTATTTCGTAATTTTGACATCACACTATAAAAAGTAATTGATATTGCTTCAACAATTTGGCTCTCTCTATTTGAACTCTCTCTCTCTCTCTCTCTCAAATGGTAGGATTTTGACGTAAGGTACTAACGCTGCATTTCGTAGGTGAGATATTAAGTCTTGGGAATGGAATATACATTCCTTAATAATGACCATTCATATGTTTGGTTTGCAGGAATGAAAATTCATTCTCATTCCTAAGGATAGCTAATCCCACAAATAATGGGATTAGGCATTACCAAATAAACCATGGTATTTCTCATTCCATTTCCACTGGCAAGTGACAGCCGGATAAAGTAAAAGTCGATTGCTGCTCTCCCTTCTTGATCGCCGTTGCTTAGTCAGATTCCTTCTCTTCTCATTTTATCACATCTTCTCTTCTTCCTCACTAACGCCCATGGGAGTCCACCCCTGTACTCATCCCCTCCCAGGTGCTCCGCCATATCTGCGTCGCCGAGATGGGAGGTTTTGTAGTTGGAGAAGTGTTTGTTGGTGTAAACTGCGAAGTTGGCATCTTTGTGATCGTGTTTGTTTGGGCGATTGTGGTGGTGGAGTCGAAGAGACAAAATATTAGAGTCAAAAAAGAAACAACGAATCTCAGATAATTTGTTCATAAATTTTGTCGGTAGTTTACCGATCCCACTTCAAATTTTATGATTTGGGATTTTTTTTTTTTTCCTTTTCAAATATGAGTTTGCCTCTTCAAAACACTTTGATTTTATTTCTTAGATTTGTTTTTTCTAATTCTAGATTTGGAACTAGCTCTTTATGCATATGAGACCACTCTCACTTGTGATTGGCAAAACACTACACAATAGACCAGGACCTGCTCTTGTTTTTCGTTTATCTGGTAGTGTGCTAAAAAACCAGGAAAGCTTTGTGGGCACTGATTTGTTTTTATAAAGTTCTCGCGAGGAAATGACATTTTATTAATGCAGAGTCAATTTGTACTTTTGTGTAATCCTATAATGTGGTCTAAGTTGGTTTCCTGTTATATACATGAGTGTTGCATACCAAGTGTTTGATTGTTTGCTTATTCAGCGATCTCCTAGTCTCTCTCTTTACTATTTAAAGCTAAAAAACTACGGTTCCCTGCGAATTTGAATTTTCTCACATACTTGGCAATACATTCTGACCATCTACGATGGGTAAAACTGCTTTGTGCTCACCTGCAGAATTCCTGCACCTTTTGAGCTGCCTATGTAACGAAATGAATGTTTCTTTCAAACAGCATAGAGAAATATTTTGCTGAGTTACTCAGTTGGGATTGTTTTTTTTTTTTGTTGCAAGTCCAAAAATTGATATTCACTCTGTTTCACCACTATATCTCTGCAATATGATCCTAAACCCGATATGTCATAACACACTTTACAATATGACTCAGGCTCCATGAAAGACTTATCAAAAATCTTCCATGTAGTTTGTTATACGGTTGGGTTTATATCTTATGAATTAATAAGAGAATGTTAACTACATTTTGTTTATGTTCCTCTTGTGGAATCATTGTGTACAGACTGATTATTATACTACTAGTAGGAAATGATCTCTAGTAGTTAATGGACCCCTTTTGAAATAGATTTCTGCTTTGTGCTTTCCTTTTCTTTTGTAGGTGCCATCTGGGGCTTGAACTACTCAAATCCAGAGGTGAATGAAGTGATTCCATCCTTAAAACTCTCTGGCATCACTCGGATTCTTTTATGTGCTGCTCTTTGAACGCGTGCACTTTAAGCTTTTACCCCTCTTTGTCTCTCACGCACACATGCATGGGGGCGCAGGCTATTATGCATTGCTGCACACATGCCTTGCAAATATACGCAAGTATATAAGATTTTCCCTGGTCATGCTTAAAACAGAATTTATTTTCCTTATGTGAGAAGACATTCTTCTGTATGTGAAAACACATTTACCTTTTCATTAAGAACGTCAGTTTACCAGTAACATATATATAATGCAAAGCAGTTCATATTCCTTTGAAATCCGTCCCATGCTTATGCATGCCACCACTAAAATTCAAAAGGGGGGTTGCTAAATGCTTATGACCACATGACCATTTTAAGCTAAACTTCCAGAGATCTTTATTCTTGTAATAGCACACTACCATTTCAGTTAACTTGAGTTCAAATTAATGCAGGCCTTGCCAGTATTCACTTTTGCAAACCAGGCCGGTCTTGATATGCTCGAGACAACATTGGTTGCACTTCACGAGACAACTTGAGGGAATTTATGAATAAGGGATCAAATTCTGGCTCCGTCCCTGATTGCCAAGATGGAGTTGTGAATGATCCCGATTCAAGTGTGGATTCATGATCATAAAGACAAGCCTTTTTTTGGGATATTATATTTGGGAAGGGAAACCGAATGTAATTTTTTTAAATTGGATGGCACTATAAGTGACAAAGTTGGTGATAAATGATAGGTTTTATTTTTGTTATTATGGACGTTCATGTAAATATTTTTGTTGATTCCATGTATTGAAGTTTAATTTATATGCCAACTTTTATTTATTAAAATAGAGTGAAATAAATTTATAGTTGTGTTTTTCGGTATGATTTTATGCATTGTATTTGTAGGTGATTTAATAAATAGATATCTAAATAGAGTGAAATATTTTCTCGTAAAAGTTAGCTTTATACCAAGTAAATTTTTTTATCCGGAAAAATGTTTTCTCTCGTTAGTTCTTGATATTTTTGACAACTAACTAAAATAAGAGTGTGGGGATTATACATTTTTATTTTGTTTGTCAAGTTTTAAAATTAATAGGTATATTTATTATAATGGATGATGTTACACAAATTAAGTTGAAATTTTATAGTTAAAAAAATTATTTTGTTTAAATTTCATTTCATTTCACTCCAACTATAATTATCGTGTCCAAATGTTGGAATAGAATGTGTATTTTATTTTAGGACTTGATCTCTAGTAATTGCAATGTTTAATATATATTTCATTCCATTATTAAGTTAATTTCATTCTTACTTAAAAACATTATTACAAATCAAACATAACATAAGGATAAGCCCCGCTTACAACAACACACCACGACAAAAAAAAACCCAGCAAAGAGGACATCAAGAAAGGGTCAATTTGTAAAATATAGTTTTCTTCTTTTTTTTTTTTCTTTTTTTGTGGCGTTTTGATTAATTTGAGAAATTTAAATTTTTTGAACTCGAACCTACTAATTTGAGTGAGTAGAAAATATTTAGGGAAATGTTGATTGGTGAAAAATCACCAGCAAATTATATTATTTGAATATTAGATTTACAATTTTGCTATGGACATCAAAATTCTTTTTTACCAAAATTTTTTCACCAACTGATGTGACACCATTTATCACCATAAATAAAAGGAGCCAATTAATATGTGATGGTTATTGATGAAATACATCTGTTAGAACTTCAAAATTTAGTGAAAAAACTTAGTAAACGTTAGTATTTTTGACAAGAACTAAGTATAAAATGGTCAATCCAAATTTCTAGAATCTCTTCTTTCAATCCTTTTGCCTATCATAGAAGGGAGGGGGTTGAAAAAGTTCTAAAAAATATGGTTGGATCGAATATAATTTTTATATTTAGACACTCTTTATGCAACGGGGAGGGACAAGAGGCCCTATCCAAGAAAAGAGAGGGGAGGTTTGGGTCTCCGGCCTGTAAAGCTCATAAATTAATTAGTTACAGGTCATAAAAGACAGTGTAATAAAGCATCAAAAAAATCAAGAGCCTCGAACCAATAAAGACTAGGGAGATTAACTCAAGAACAAATTTCATTAGGATTCTAAAATTCAAATAGAATTACTAATTCCTTGGCTTTCTTACAGAAAGAGGCTAGTTGTTTCATCAAACCATATAGTTATACACCCATTCTTTACTTTTTTTATCAAGAAATACCCATGTTCAGTTAAAACAAGATTTGACCAATATCCAATCTGTCTCTGAGAAATTGCCAAAGAATAGACAAGAAAATAGCTTGCAAGTTTGAAAAACCAACTTTTCAAATAGATGGAGTACTGTTTGTTTGAAAGTTTTCTCCCCTTTTAATCTCTCCATCTTCACAGCAACCATATGGGCCATGGTTGAAAATGGAAGTCGTGTAGGTGTTGATATACTCAACCAAATCACAAAATTAATCGCATAGTTTTTTGCTACATGTTTTGGTGTATATGATTGTGTTCTTGTTCATGCACCAGAATTAGATATAAATATAACAGCAAGAAGAAAAAATCAAAGATTTATGGGAGACACATCTGATTAACTTCACCTAGCAAGAAAAAAAAGAAGATCTAATTGCTTCTTTTATGTTGCGTAAACCATTAGAATTTCAAACGATAAAGAAAACATTATAATAAATGCAACAATTTGAATATCAAACTATCTGAGACAGAAAGATTTCATCTTTCAAGTCTGAGTCCATATGCAACGAACGAGTCCATTAGGCAAGTTGAGTATAGAATTACAGTACCAAACAAAGCAGGCTCAAGTAATCGAGCAAGACGAACCATCTTCATGTAGTCACTTCAGATAAAGAATCCCTCAAATTTTGGTTCTGATCAATGGATTAGCTTGGTTGTCAAGGAATGTCCAAAGATTGAAGGCATCCTAGGCTCCCCAAGTACTCTGGAAAGTTAAAAGAACAAACTTTAAGCACCGATTGAATACTACACACACATACACACGCACACGTACACGCA